AATGGTTTTAGAAAGTTGAGTAGGAATTACTTATGCTTGATTGATAGATTGAAAGAGAGAGAGGGTGTTGTTGGGTTATTAAAACTTATGGACCATAGACTTGATGGCTCAAACTGGTGGTTTCGTAATCTGAATTTCTTGCGTACAGACTAACATCTCATCAATTCAGTCATAATTACTCACGGACTAACGCAATCTCGATCATGCTTTTTCTTTGGGTCATTAAGTCTTGATGGCTCAAGGATGACATTAGGCTTTTTCTAATTACTGTTTTGCGCACAAACGTTAACACACATATACATGCATACACACCCTCAAGTATAAGAGAAGTAAGCAGATCTCTATATATCTTTTTAAAAATCGTTCTAATTGTGAATAGGAAAGAGCATATCAGTCTTCTTGGCTTAGTGCTAATTTTTACAAGAATGAGTCCCAGCTCTGATGATGGTTATCATATGATGAACAAGGGCTCAGCCAATTTCCGCTCTAAATGAGGAAGGATGTCTCGTGGACTGCGTCAACCTGAACGTTGTATTAAAGCCAAATGGCTGCAGTAAAACGGGAATCAGCCGTCGTCTTCTGTTAAGATCGACATATCATGCATTTTCATAAAAAATGAAAGTCTCGACAACAATGATATCTCAAGAGATTCAAGTAAATCCACTTTATCTTCGTATATCTCCCAATTAAATTAAACTCCAATAGACCTTTCCTCTTAATGTTGCTGTTTGGCTAAAAAGCTCATGAAGTAACTTATTGCTACTGTGAACACAAATCCTGGTGAGGATGCCGATGAAACCCCAAAGGGATTGAAAATACAGTCCACCCTGGGTGAAGAAGCCTAAGCCTCAAGCAAGGTTAAATAAAATTCATTTTCTTTTAAAAGTAGATCATTTACATATGGGATGCACCCACTATGCTTTGCCTAAGGTGATAAAAGTTAACTTGGTGATGGAAGTTGGATTTTCCCATAATCATGAGTAAGCCATAAGTTTTCATTAAATCTCGCTTAACCTTGATTCATAAAAGGCATTCTCACTTAGGCTGGATTGAAGTTTTGGCCTCGCCCGGATCTCTTAAACACCCACGGCTGGATTGAAAAGCTGAGAAAAATTCAATTACCCGTCCTTTATCACCTTAAAGGAAATAGAGTGAATGCACCCCATATAAATGAAATTCATTTGAACTGTGGGAAAATAAACTGAGACCTTTAATCATTTAGAACGACCTCAAATGAATACATAGTCATTGAGAGTTCGAACACGTGAGTTTTCAGGGAACCATATGGAAAATGCTTCTTAGTCATGAAAATTCCGGAAGAGGTCAAAAGTAAGCTTGGACGGCAGATGAGGCAACAAAAAGTATAGTTCAAAATGCCCTCCGAAGATCATTACTTAATCTATTCTAGTATTCCCAATCAGAGGGAAATATGGGACACTTAAATAGATTAAAGGTAGGCATTTAACAGTGTCATGGAGCATAAGACCTCAAGTTTGGAATTAGTTGGGCTATTTGGTAAAATACCAAGCCGATATCAGCATCAAAATGGAAGATATGTTAGAAGCTCAGAATGGGTAGACAACAAGTACAAGTCTATTAGCTCAGGAGCATATTTTACGCAAATTTTCCAAAAATTGGCTCAATTTTATTAAGCTCATCAAGTAGCAAGTCCGCAAAAATAAAAAAATTCACTTTATCGAAAAGATAGACTATAGCTGAAAAAATAATAAAAGGCCTTATGAAAAAAGAGATTAAACTCCTACTTCAGTAGTTCTTAAAACAAACCAAAAATATTTTTAAGTTCAAGGGACAGACCTGCCAAATAACATGCCAGCCAAATGGGCAGCGTGATCAATTGGACTGCGGCGAGCGAACAGCAAAAGGGCTGTTGCCTCTACACCTATCAGTAAGTTGACCACGCTCTCAGCACGGAAACTATGTGGTACCAGATGAACAATGAAAGGTACGCATACCCCAGTGTCTGGGTAAAGGCCGGAAAAGGCACCAAGCACAGCACAAACTCCGCCACTGGCTCCAAGACTTGGCACGCTGGAGCGAATTATAGACTTGAAAATAACGCTAGCCATACTGCCAGCAATACCTGAAAGCAATAGGTTCAAGAGAAAACTCGAGCGCGTATGAACTTTGTTAAATAGA